TGTGTCTCGAGTCAATAGAATGTCTTTTATTCTATTTTGCACCGACATATATATATACTCTATTCCCTTCTTTTCTTATTCCTTAATCCTTACTTTAACAATCCATTGCGATCCCATAATTGGGCGTAGATCTCTTCCAATACTACTTACTATACATGCACTGAGAGGAGATGATTATAAAGTCTAACTTCCTTATTGCTAGCAATATACCCTATCAGATTGACCAACATGCGGTTCCCCCTGGAAGTCATCGTGATTAAAAATAGTAATCCGTGTGATTCGGGCATAGAATAGGCCACCACTTCCTTTCCTGTGGCTGTCGTAAGCGGCAACTAAAGGAACTTATTGGTCGATGGATTGGCAGCAGTGTCCGCTCCTAAAACGTCACTAAAGCCTAACTGAGGTTGCCAACCCGCGTACCAAGCATGGCAACTTCTTGTAAAAACTGGAAGAAAGAATTTTCCATCTGAAATAAACCCACATTTGCTCACAAGATTTGCATGTGCTTTATCTTTGTAATTTACATTATTTAATTCGAAAACATACGTAAAATACTGTGTAAAATCTTTAAGGTTTGATATGCAAGTACATAAATACATATTTCATGAATACAGGCACCCCAGACAGCTACTAAGTAAAGCACTATCTGTGGAAACGTCTAGAAGCCGGCAGTTCGCGCCCGTTGCAGCCCCACTGCCGGATTTCCTTGCATGCAAGCGACTATAAGCATTTTTGTGGCACCTACTTACATAAGTAATACTAAATACTTTAATAACTAAAACATATAACATAAACATGAACCAGAGGGAGATTTTGTACAAAAGTCGATCGCTTGGGTACCTCTGTCCCATTCGTGTTTCAACCGTGAAGCAGTTGTGTTTGCATGGCTGTGTTTCGGTTTGAAGGGTGGGATATGGCGTGAATTTACTGGGTACAGAGGAATAACACCTGAGTCCTCAGGAATGGCAATGCATGGGGGGTATCACGGGCGAAACAATATACTCTGTTATGTCCATAGTACTGCTCGTGTCTATAGGCGACGGTTACCACTTTCCATCAGGTGGGCCTTCAGCTTGTTTGTCATTCTAAATTGAATAAAAAAAAAAACATTTAATATTTTTCACAAGTCAAAATAACTTTATTTATTTATTAATTCGTTATTGACCACATTACAAAAAAAATGTCTGATACAAAAAGCATTCCCTCGCAGTCAACCTTAAGTAAAACAGAAATGTAATTATGCGGTGAAAAAATTGAAAATTGTTACAGATACGTATCGTACACGTACGTATCGATATTGACTTACAAATCACAATATACAAATATATAACTTTCGTTTTCCCTCTACAATACCTCGGAAACAGATAACACCTTTATGTCCTCCGTTAAGAAAAACAGTGTTAGGAGCCAACTCGCCTGTACCCAGATTATGTAGGATTCTGAATGCTCACAGCGATCAAATTGACATCAATTTTCCCAATCCCATTGCTAGCAATATACCCAACCAGGTCGACCTTCTCGTGGTTCCCCCTGGAAACTATCATGATTAATTCCAGATGAACTCATCATGGTGGGCTAACTGGCCTGTTTTCATTCTCATCGATCACCCTTCACTGGTGCCCCGCCAGCGTATCCCGTTAGCGCAGGCGGGGTTACCATTCTATTTTCTTCCAATAAGAAAAAAAAATATCCATTGTAGTCTAATGCCTTTTATCTTTTAATATAATGCGTGTATAAAATGTCTGCCCAAATAGTTTGAATGTCGCAAGTTATTGAAAGCAATATCTCCCGCCTCCGCCGACGTATTGTGAACAAGCAATACCGCACAATGGTCATAACAAATACATATCTTAGTTACAAATGGTTATAATAAAGGATCTGAATGTGGGGAGAAATGGGCCGTTTTACGGCCGCGTGCCTACAGCTGTAACGGCGGTGGGCGATACTCTGATTACGGCGAGGCATCGTTCATTCTTTGATCTGTTATGTACTTTATAAATCTATTTTGTTGGAAGTGTCACAGTGTAAAAATGTTACGTTTTGTATGTAGTTTAGTTACATGATATCTTTAAGCGTGGGATGTGTCAGTAAATCTATTTGGAAGAGATTGCTTAGTTCACTTCTCGTTAACTATATTTATTGTTTTATAAATGATGCAATCAAGTGTATAATTAAAATAAAATAAATTACATATAAATGGAAAGTAGTAATTGTCATTTATAGACACAAACAGTTATGTGGATGTCACAGGATACACTGTGACGCCCATTATTGTAATTCGTGAGGAGTATATGCAATTTTTTATCTGTGTTTCTGCCGTGAAGCAGTTATATTTGCATGGATGAATTTTGTTTTGAAAAGTGAAATATAGCAATAAAATTTTACGGATCAGAGACGTAATACCCCCCGGTAATGACAACGTATGAAGAATATCATGGGCGACACAGTATATTCTGTTCCGATGCTAAAGAGGTTACCTGAATCTATGGACACCTATAACACTAGGGATGCCACGCGCAAGTTGCCGATCCTGAGAAACTTTATTACTCCCTTAAAACCTCATGCTGTAGTCTCTAGAAAAAACCCTGACAGGAAGTTAATTTTATAATCTGAAAGTTCGCGCGAAGGAACTCTTTTGAAATCTAGATAGATATATCTTAGATTTTTGTATATATTAACAGATCAAATTTAGTAGGAAGTTATCTATAGGAGTAAGTAATATATAGTAATATGTATATATTTTAATAACAATATCTATTAACATTATATCTATCTATATACTGTGTTAAAAGTCTGTTATTAAAAAAAAAATTATTGCATTACAGACTTTTAACATATTCGAAAATAAATATCCGACCGATATGGGCGATATCGAAATAAGTAAATGACCTTTTTCGACCATAAATGTTCAGAAGAACCCCATATATATATATATATATATATATATATATATATATATATATATATATATATATATATATATATATATATATATATATATATCCATATTATCCATCCTTTGGTAGGTGTAAGCTCGCCACGTTGAATCTAGACATGTTGGACAGCTGCACTTGTGTGGTTGTGTTTCGCTTTGAAAACTTTTTTGTAATACTTAAAATGACAGATTGACAGCCCGCTAGATGGTAAGTGGCAAGCAACGCCTATAGACAGGAACAGTACGTTATACCACTTATAAATTGCAAAAAAAAAGTTCATCGACCATATACCTGCTGTTTTTTTTTTGATGGGTGAAAGTGGTGTGGTAAACCCGCCTGCGCTAACGGTATACGCTGACGGAGCACCAGTGAAGGGTAATAGATGAGAATGAAAACAGGCCAGTTAGCCCATCATGATGAATTCATCAGGAATTAACCATGATAGTTTCCAGGGAGAACCGCGAGGAGGTGGACCTGGTTGGGTATATTGCTAGCAATGGGATTCTCAGTCTCCATTACAAACAATCCCTTTCGCCTCATATACCTGCTGTTAGGTACATTTTTATTGGTACCGATGCCCGCGACTTTGTCCGCATGGTATTTGTTGTTCCTGTTTAATATATGTATATCGATGTATCATTCATCGTCGTCATTTCAGCCATTATCCGTCCACTGCTGGACATAAGCCTCCCCCATAGACCGCCATAAAGAATGGTCCTGAGCCACCTGCAACCACTGACTCCCTGCAATGCATTTGAGGTCGGTCAATGCATTTCGGAGATTATCCCGTATAGACAGAATTTTTTTTGAAATAATCTGGATGTGTTCTGTTTTTCTTCTAACGTTCCCTGACTCGGAAGGAAGTACAGACATTTGAGCTCTACAGTTTTGTTATATGTATAGATTAATAACCTAATAAAATAAATAAATAAATAAATTGTATTTAAAATTTATTAACAATTTTTAACAAACATTTGAGGAATAAATAAAATAAATAATACACCGTATAAACAATTACTTATATGACTATTTACAAATCTCAGCTATAAATGTACATTTTTATAATACACACTAGTACACAATGGCACTAATTAAAATTTACAAAAAGGGACTACTTATTAAACATTTTCATAAAATAGATGCATTCGCGCGAGAACACGCGAGTCGCGCGGACGCATCTATGAATCGCTCGTGAATAAAGTATATTTATTTTATTTTAAAAGGAAGAAAATAAAAATAATAATAAAAGTTTTGCAAGCGTATCGTGTTAAAAATTATGGATTATATTGCATAAGCAGCTACTAAAGTTGTGTATAAAAAAAAAAATAATAATAAACAATGTACACTGAAATATTTAAATAAAGGTCATTTAAACATATTTTTGTTGTATAATAACTATTGTAAATCAAATGTTACATTTACAAATAAATTATGTAAATTAAAAATGCATAAAAATTCGCAATAAATCACGTAATTTTTTATTTAATAACGGGTCATTTAATAAAAAAAAAAAGTGTTATTTTATTACCTTATATTTGGTATACTTTTAGTAGAACAATAATGAAATTATAAATTTCACTTTTACAATTACAAAAATTAAACTGGCCTTAAATTACAATTTTTTATTCACGTTTCAGGTAATCATACAAAATGTGACATACTCGTACCTATTACTTAATTTAATATGTTTAATGTCATTTCATGACAAAACGAAGAAATAAATTAAATAAATATATTTATTTATAATTTATAAATTATACTGTTTTAGTCTGACTTAACTCTATATCTTAGAAATCTTGTTATATTTGAATTTAATTCAAATAACATAAAATATTTAATAAAGTGTTTTCTATTTGATCTAGTCTAGTCTAGTCTAGTCATCTCAGAATTAATTCCCTTTCTGGCAAAGAAAAACGTACACAGCACTCAGAAAGGGTATGGAGTGGAGGAACAAGTTTTAATACTTATGTAATGTTTATTTTCTATGCATATATATATATATATATATATATATATATATATATATATATATATATAATTATATATAATTATAATTATATAATTATATTTAATTAAAAACGTTTACTTCATTGTTGATCCTGTACTATTTTTATCTTGGATTGATATTTGTTATTTCTTAGGAATTGTTTTTGTACCTATCCTTACTAGTTTTTACCTAGTACCTAGTATAGATTAAGATGACGTTATTGAACAGAGACCATGATATCTTATATAGACTCTTACTCGCAATTTCGTATGCGTAAATTTTAGGAGTAGGTAACTAGTTCTAGGTGATGTGTCAAGGTAAAATATACACTAGATATTAAATAAGACCTTCAAGAATATAACTATGAAAACTGCATACAATTTGGTGCAATTGTTTTTGCGTGATGCCAAAACAAATATACAGACAATAAAGCAAAATTTTTAAAAATTCTTTTGGATTCTATTACTCAAAATAACTATGAAAACCGCATTCATTCAATGCAATTTGGTGCATTTGTTTTTGCATGATGCCAACACAAGCATACATACAGACAGAAAAAAAATCTAAAAACTGTTTTGGCATCTATTACTACTATGAAGACTCCCTCATATTTTCTTACATATCTCCTATATACAGACATTGTCTAATTACAATTTAATATTTTTTTTTTAAAACCACAAACGTGGTATACAAGCATACAGCCCGTCTGATGGTAAACGGTCACTGTAACCTTTGGACGCCAGTAACACTAAGGAAGTCACGTGGCATTGCCGATTATATTAATGAGACAAAATTATTGTTACATAACATTATAATACATCATACATTACAAGGCAACTGGGTGTACTTCAAACAAGCACCAATGTTATCTTCAGGGTTACTCTTCCGACTGGGGGGTCCGAAGTGGACGGACACTTTGAACGGCTTCACAGATGTCTCCACGCGGCAGTGCTCGAACTGTATGCCTGGACAGAAGGAGTCGCCGCAGTGGTGAGGGTCGCATACTCCCGGCATGCTGTACAAGGAACTCTGCAAAGGACGGTTATAGTTTTAAGGTTTTCAATTAATCTAATTTATTTGCGAATATGTTACGCAACTGTCTCGCGATCCCGGCATAGAATAAGCCAATCCTTCCTTTCTCGTGGGTATCGTAAGAGGCGATAAAAGGAACTAAATGGTTGAGGGTTGGGCTGCAGCGTTTCTCTTAAAACATCACCAAGGCCTAACTGCAGTTGTCAATCCGCTTGCCATGTGTAACAACTACTGATAAAACCCCCCAATAGAGGAAGGCCTATAAGAAGACCCGTGACGGTTGATAGTGAGAGATAACAGGTTAAGATAAAAGCAGGCCAATAAGCCGATAGTAACGAATTGTATAAGAATTAACAATGATGGTTTCCAGGGGGAACCGCATGGAGGTAAACCTAATAGAGTATGTTGTTAGCAATAGATCGCATTACTAAAAAAATACCCTTCCCCTAGGCCTAGGCTAATGTTATACCGCCTTCGAGCCAGACATAAACAGTTGGACATTAGAGTGTTGATAATTGTTGTCATACAAGCACGCAAAAACTGGCACAGACTAAAAACTTAAGAAACTTTCACGTTTATAACATCATCATAGTTGTCATTCAGGCCTTCGAGTCTTCTAGTCTATTCCCATTATTTGGGATCAGCGCATAGTTTTTGCCTTCCATTGTGATCATGACTCAGTCATCTTACTCACATCACGAACTTTCATATCCTCTTTCACACCATCCACCCATTTTGTGGCTCATATTAATACGATATTTGTAAACGACACTTACCGATACAAAATATTCGTCTTCACATTGTATAGTAATTCTGTCTTGGCATCTCTGTCTACCATAACCTTTAAGGCCAGCACCATAGTTCCCATACCCATAGTACCTAAGCTTATCGTCTACTTTTTTGAAATGCTGAGCATATGGGGACAAACGCATCCATCCAAAAGTTGCCAAGTCCCATTTCGAGCTATCCCATACTCTGTTCTTTGCGTTTTGAACTGATCTAGCTTCTCTGCTTATTTCCTCTTCTTCGCCGTTCCAAAGCATGATGTCTTGTCTGCTCCGATCTTCGTTGTCTCGAATTTCTAGGTCTGGATAATTGTGACTCCATTTGTCGTCCCAAGGTCTGGTGTTCCATCTCTCGGCCCGGCCGCTAAAACTCCTGCCGCTCTGCCCCCAGAGCCAAGACGGCCAGATAAAGCTCCAGATCTAGATATTAGTTATGTTAGTCTAACTACGAGGATAGGTGGGTAATATAGAAGGGTGATCAACCCATCCCAAAATACGTAAAAGACCAAACAAATTTTACAATGCATATAAGACACTTGCCACGCGCGCCACGCCGTAGTGGGGGAAAGGGATTCTTCGTAATTGGGTCTATCAGCCCAATTGCCAACAATAAACTCTATCAAGTCGATCTCCACATGGTTCCTCTTGGAAACCATAATGGTTAATTCTTGTAGAATTTGTCAGGATGGACTAACTAGTCTGCTTTTATTCTCGCCTATTATCTCTCACTGGTACTTCACCAGCTTATACCGATAGGTGTAGATGAAAAACTAGGTCAGTTAGCCCATCGTGAGGAATTCAGTCATCGTGACGAATTCAGCCATCGTGACATTCAACCGCGTGGATATCGACCCGACAAAGTATATTGTTACCAATAAATTATAGCTAAACCCGATTACTAACAGTCCCTTCTCCCAACGTACAAGCGGGGTAACCGTTCCATTCTCAGATATAAAAAAGGAAATCTCTGCAGTTTTTATATTCATTGTACAATAAAGAACCGCGCGGTTGACTAACTTAGACTGCGTGGTGTATGAAAGCCATTGGTCTGTATACGGCGATGTAGTACGTGTGTCAAGCGCCTAATATAAAAATATTTTAAAATACTGTTTTATTTTATTTCGTTTTACAAATAAATTTACTCATCTCAGTTATTATATTTTTTTTTATATTTTTTTTACACTCGCGCATATTTATACGTACTGTTAGTGTGGGACCCTTGTTTAATATAAAAAAAAAAAATTCCCACACACTGAAATTTTTTTTACACAGCTAATAGTACATTTTCACTCATTTGAAAGGACTCGCGACGCGAGAGACCCTCGGTTCAGGGTTTTATTGAGCCTGGATGAATGTAACTAGTTATTTTTACTGGCCAGACCGGCGGACAAAATCTAGGTCCGTAACTGGGCCATAATTTGGCTAGCTAAATTACAACTGACTAATTTAGAGTTTGTATCAGTTTATATAGGCATATTACTGCTGATTTAAATGGAAATAAATGATATTGCTAATCAGCAATAATATGTCTACATGCTAGGGTTGTAACAGTACGCATCTAACCGCTTCGGATTCCGATCACGTACTTTGAGACCGGTTTCTAGATAAATAGTTTTATTGGATAATCTATTATTTATTATGTACATATAAATTATCGATATAAATAAATATAAAAAGTAGATTAATATTTATTACAGGGCACCCGGGATCCTCATGAATATTATCTTTAGGTATTCATGTAATATGTTAACTGCGAGTCATTAAGGGTTGTTTTTAGTTCGTCCAACATATTTTAGTCCATATATCCGTTATCGGAATATATTTGGGTAAGTATGAAAACTGACTATTAATCGGATAGGTATATGTTGAATTAATAAATACAGTTGTAACTATAATAAAACAAAGCTGGAATGCTGCAAGCGTTATGGGGATCTTTGGATCGGGTTCAGAACGTGGACATTATTTCGACTGATCGTTAATTTAATTAATTCATTCATTTATTTATTTATTTTACACATTATTATACCAAGTAAAAATAAAAATAACAAATACAGTAAATATTAATGAGAAGTGATACAAAAGGCGGCCTTATCGCTAAGCAATCTCTTCCAGACAACCTTTGGATTTTTTTTTTGTTTAAGTAATATTTTACATTATTGACCCTTATTTTTGTAATTTTACCGACTATTACATTTTTTTATATATTGCCGTATAGTCTCGGCATAGAATAGATCACCCCTTCCTTTCCCGTGTGTGTCGTAAGAGGCAACTAAAGGAGAGCGAGGGATGGGCAGCAGCGTCCCTCTTAAAACATCTCCAAAGCCTAACTGCGTATGCCAATCCGCCTGTCAAGTGTGGCAAGTACTGCCAACCCCCTCCACCTTAGGGGGAGGCCTATGTTCAACAATGGACAGTTAAAAGCTGATATGATGATGAAGAAGGATATTTACCATCGAAATAAAGCTTTGTGATTGAGGTGCGGACTCCATGGGAGACGCTATATTCGGGTCCGCGCCCGACCCTTCCATCTCATCTTCCTGCATACCTCCTGTAGCCTCTGTAGACATTACTGTACTCACTGTGAAAGCAGAAAAATTCACTATATAAATATACAATCTATTAGGTTATTTGACAGGGTTGGTGTTTTAGTCCTGATTTAAAGCGGACATGATCACTATATAATTATCCAATCTATTGGGTTATTTAACAGGGTTGGTGTTTTAGTCCTGATCTAAAGCGGGCAAAATTACTATATATATATATATATATATATATATATATATATATATATATATATATATATATATATATATATATATATATAGATTAATTGTGGACTAACCTGGATCGGTATTCTGGACTTGATCGCCACCAGATCCGATCCTAAAGGAGCGGCTGTCACACGGCGTGTACCTCACTGAGCAGTAGCCCACGTTGTGCCTTATGCACGCTCTGTAATCGTGTCCCGACAGGTGGCGCCCGTTGACTGCGTAGTTGAAAGTTTTTATTGTACCTAGAAGAATGCATTTTAAATTTTAACTGAATTTTTTTTCAGATCTGTTGCAACCTTTTATATTCCAACACTAGAATAAATTTTATATTTTATGTAATATGGCAACAACCGCCTTTCTTCTCCGCGCTACATCGGAGACGATACAGTGCTGTGAACAATTTTTGTATTTTATTTAAAATATCACCATATCATCACGCCAGCTTCCTTCAAAGCAACCAACACACTCCGCTGGTGGTCGTAAGAGGCGACTAAGGGAGCGCGAGGGATAGACAGCAGCGTCCCTCTTAAAATATCTCTAAAAGCCTACCCTAAAAGCGGGTTGCCAACCCGCCTGCCAAGCGTGGTAATTACTCCCCTTATTGGGAAGGTCTATGTCCAATAGTGGACAGTAGTAGTTAACGGCTGAAATAATAAAATTAACATATACATACACATACATACATACACACACACATATATATATATATATATATATATATATATATATATATATATATATATATATATATATATATATATATATATATATATATATATATATATATATATATATATATATAGAAAGAAAAGAAAGAAAACACAAGAAAATATGACAAATCTAGTATAATATTACAGAAGAAAGGAAAAGAGTAACTACAATGAAAGAAAATTCAATTTAACTTGTATTTTTTTTTTTTTGTTTTTCCTTTCATTTTATTTTTTATGACACAATTTTATTATATTACTGGCTTTTTGCCTGCTACTTCGTGTGGAATACGCAAGTAGAAAAATTAATTGAATTTACCACTTCTAAACGGCGAACCATTTTTTTTACGAAACTTCCAAATTTTAAGTTAGACCTTCAAAAACCTAACTGAAAAAAAACCGCAAACAGACAGACAGATTAGAATTTCTAAAAAAATATTGTGGTCTTATTTAGACCAATTTAGCGTGAACTTACTGGGTACAAAAGAATAACACCTGAGTCCTCAGGAATGGCAACGCATGGGGAGTATCATGGGCGAAACAGATACTCAGCGTTAACTCTGAACCACAATCATACCATCTGGGAGGAAGGGATTATTAGTAATGCGGACTGCCAGTGCAACTGCTAGCATTATACCCTGTCAGGTCGACCACCACGTGTTCCCCCTGGAAACCATCGTGCTAAATTCCTGGTGTATTTTTCACAATGGGCTAACTGATCTGCCTTTTCATTCTCACCTATCATCTCTCATTGATACTCCGCCAGTGTATACCGTTAGCGCATTCGGCTTTACAATTCCATTGTCATCAATTAAAAAAAAAATCCATCCAGTGAGATAAAACCGCTACAATAACAACACTGTAATAATTCAACCTGTATTTACAAACTGACAGACACTTGTATTTCTAAGTTATAAAGCCCTGTCATTGGCGTAAAGGCCCTTTGAAGATGCTCTGAATGAATCTCATCTCGTAATATGAGTTTATATTACTGGCATTTCTCTGAAGTCAATTGTATACACCATTGTTTGATAAGAGTAGATATAGTTATTCCAGATCCAAAATTAAGAATAACTAGTTTTGTCCATTTACATATATTACATATATATATATATATATATATATATATATAATATATAAGTAGGGGTTATGCCAGTAGTTGCCATGCTTGGCAAACGGATGTGCAACTACAGACTTTGGTGATATTCTAAAAGGGATGCTGCTGCCCATCCCTCCACCATTAAGCTCCTTTAGTCGCCTCTTACAACACCTACGGATAGGGAGGGGTGGTCTATTCTATGCCGGGACCACACGGCCACGAGTAGACAACAATGGGTAGACAGAAATAATAAAACTTTTACCAGAGGCAGAGTTTGTACAAAAGTAATTCCGTATTTCTACCGTGAAGCAGTTGTATTTGCATGGCTTTGTTTTGGTTTGAAAGGTGGGATATAGCAGTGCATTTATATGGTACCGAAGAATAACACCTGAATCCTCAGAAATGACAACGCATGGGGGTATCATGGGCGAAACAGTGTACTCTGTTATGTCCACGGTACTGCTCATGTCTATAGGCGACGGTTACCACTTTCCATCAGGTGAGCCGTCAGCTTGTTTGCCATTCTAAGTTGTATAAAAAAAAGACATATTTTAATGTGTGTAAAACAACGTACCATTATTTTCTCTGTACCACTGCAGACAGTCATGTGGTGCGGAGTGTGCGAGGGGCATCTGCGCGAGACGTAGGAGCCATATCCGGGGCATCTCGCTGCCTCGGATGCGTATGCGCAGCCGTGTGCCTCTCGCGCCGGCTAACTCCTCCGTGTCGCGTTTCTCTCTTTCATTCGTTAATGTATAATATACTAAAAAAAAAAAAACAATGTAAAAAAATAAGAGATTTAATTTTATAATAATGTTCTAGCTTCAAGCAATATTAAGAATATAATATTGTGAATTCTTACAGTGCTGCCCGTGATTCTGTCCACACACTGTGAAGTTGTTTGCGCCTTCCCCCAGGATCATGGCGTCTTCGTCGCATTCACCTGTTGTTCTATTTGGCTGGCCCTACAAAATATACATATATATATATATGTATAAATTGGTGATTGAAAAACAAAAAAAATTATAAAAAAAAATACAAATTCTTCTTCTCAAATCGAATATAATATAAATAATAAATGGTTGAATTTTGTCTAGATTTTTTTACACCACTCGAGTGGTAAATAAGTATACGGCCCACCTGATGGTAAGCGGTTACCGTAGCCTATAAACGCCTGTAATACCAGGGACGTTACGCGCGCGTTATTGACCCTGTAGAAACGGTTCAAGATTTTTTTTTGTCGTTTTTGATTTTTTGATTTATGAATTTCCTAATATTTTCTACATCAAGGGTAGACTTACTTTTCTTTACATACACCCAACAGCTTCAATTTCATCCCATGTCTCATACATATTTATTTTTTACATAGGATTATTTATTACTAGCTTTTACCCGCGACTTTGTTCGCGTGACCGGAATATAATTACTGGATTACCGTCCCAAATAGAAAGCAGCTACTCCATCCTGTATAGTTAATAGTGGTTACACCAAATTTAATAGTGGTTGGTTAAGCTGTGAAACCGCTATGTGGTAACACGAAACAGGGGGAAAGGGATTGTTATTAATGGGGTGAAAAAGTCCCTTTACGTGTCAGGTAGACCTCCACGTGGTTCCACCTGGAAACCGTCGCGGTTAATTCTAATTGAATTTGTAAGGATGGGCTAACTGACCTGCTTTCATCCTCACTTGTGATCTTTCACTGCCCTGTCAGTGTATACCGAAAGCGCAGGCGGAGTTGCCATTCCATTATCATACAAAAAAAAAAAAAACTTACTTTCACATTTAAAATATTATATCTGTTTTCGTTTAAGAGTTTCCTATTGTCGGTGAAACTAATTCATGCATTTTCTTCCAGCCAGCTTCAGTCCAGTTCCAGGCCATATCTTTAATCTCACTATATGACAAATATTAGTAAATAAGTAATAATCAATAACTTACGATAGTGAAATGTACAAAGTCTACTCTCAGCTGCATGATGCCCTCAGTAACCTTGTGTATGGTGATATCACAGTCTTCCTCCCCGTTCCAGAGGTCTGGAAACCCGGGAGACATGAAGTATGTCAGGTTGTTCTGCACCGTATCACCGCAGGACACCTCGACTGCAACACAAACATATGAAGGAGTTTTACTAATAGGGACTAGAGGCCCCATGGCCGGCAGTATAAAGGTCAACCTTTACGCTATACCCCTAGTATCAACCGTGATTATTTTTTGGTGAATTCTTCAGGAAAAGTCAAACGACCTGACTTCATCCTCATCTATCATCCTTCACTGGTACCCCGCCAGTGTATACCACCAACCCCACTACCTGTGGCATTGGTATACATGTCACAGATGGATTTACTATTACATTTTCATCCAAAAAAAAAAAATTTGTCGGTGGATAATTTATTCCATCCAATATTATCGCTACCATCCTATATTAGCGCTAATAAATAAATAAATACATTATATATATTTTGTTACTAATTATAATAATTATTAATACTGAATTATAAGGGAAGTACGTTTTAAATCCACCCGTGAATTGTGAAGAGAAGAATCTATGAAATAACAATTAGCATTCGTTTAGCATTCGTTAGCGTTTCTTACTTGTTTTACATTACAATAATATATAAATAAAAATTGTATACCGCAAAAAACACCGACTTCAACTGTGGCAAAACTATTTATTTTTATTTTTTTAACTACTAAAATTAAATTAAAAAAAATACTTTGGGACCAATCTGTAAGTATATACTTTCAGAAAAAAAAAATCCAAATCGATTTACAACTAAACGAGTTTATTTATTTGTTTATTTATTTATTTATTTAAGGAACACCAACAGCATATTGCATTATAACATATAGGTATAACAACATTAAATACAATACAATATTAATGCACATGCCTATTATAGGTATTCACAGCATTTACTTTAACATAGTTGTACAGTGCGAGAAAATTAAGTAAATTATAAAAACAAACATGCAACCCAAGTTGTGAGCAATATCAGAAAATATGATTATAAGTGAATTGAATTAAAAAATATTTAAAAAAAATATATATTATGATAATTTTGAGTTATTTATTATTAGATTATTGTACAAAGTGCTTCAGCAATTTATTCCTGTAGGAATTCGAATTATCATGCACTTTAACAAACACTTTGCTCCTTGTTTTTGAAGTCAGTTAGAAAGAAACTATCCTATCTATGGAATCCATAAAAAAGTCTGTAGAAGTAGAAGATCATATTTTGCAAACATCAATTCAATACGTTTTGTAGTACCGAATAGAAATCAAACCCGGAATTTTAGGCAAAGCAACGCTTACCACTGCACTGCAAGGCGATCGAAATTGAAATAAAATATAACCACAGATAATATAATACTATCTGTAACTGATGTGATTACATGTACAGTTAGAATCAATGTCCAACACGGGTCGAGTTTTTATAGCAAGTGACCGCTAAGTTATATACCAACATATTTTCCTTACTCTTGCGTCGTCCACTTTTTACTACTTTTTTACTTCGCCTGTACGTAACAACGCATTTACGTCCCAGTGGACACGTGTCTCTTTCCATTAAACAAGAATACTAGCCTACTATCTACATATATAACATGTTTCTCATCTGGCTACGTGGCTTGAAGAATATTTTGTATGCAACTTAGTATGACAAACAAGCTGATGGAAAGTGGTAACCGTCGCCTATAGATAAGTACAGTATCATCGACATAACAAAGTATATGGTGTCATCTATGATACCCTTTATGCATTGCCAATCCCATCCTTCGAACCGAAACACATACATACAAACACAACGGAATACACGAATGGGACGAAGGTACCCAAAGAGACGACTACAAAGTCAAAAGTTAAAATAAGTTTTTTTATGCAATTTAGAATGGCAAACACAAGCTGACGGCCCACCTGATGGAAAGTGGTAATCTCCTTTTTTTAGAAGTCGCTTAATAATATACAATAAAATAAAAAAAACAAAATATTTAATTTTTTGTTTTCAATGCCTTTCGTACGTTCCTCCATAGCTGCAAGCTAGCAAGCTAGCTAGCAAGCTGAAGTGGCAATGGGCTGCTCATATAGCTCAAAGAGCTGATAAGCGAAGGTTCTTTGATGGCGATCTCGTGCAGTGTGTCCCCCCCCCCCCCCTCCAACTAGATGGAGTGACGATCCCAAATGCATTGCAGGGTATCTATTCCAAGTGGATGCAGGTGGCTCAGGACCTTTCCTTATGGCAGTCAATCGGGGAGGCCTATGTCCAGCAGTGGACAGTTAACGGGTGGTGTGATGTAGATGATCAATTTTACAATCACAATCTATAAAAATCCCGTAATACGATATTTGTTTATTGTAATTTCCGAATTTACTTAACTGATTTTCTATTTGTATACAATTTTTTTGTTGTTGTTTTATGTTTCTTTTGTTCTTGTTTTGTGCGCTACTGTGTGGGTCGCACGCTTCTTTGATTAAATTATTTCATTCTTTCTTTCTATTTAAATGAAATTTTGTAAATGCGTATTGTTTGCTCCAACATGAGATAGATAGATAGATAGATAATTTATTTGCATTACTTACAGCACACAAACAACAATAGTGATGTATCTGCTACCCTCTTTTAATAATAATGAGCATAATTATATCTACCTACATATATATTAGTAATGGGAGACTTGATGCGCTGTCAGTAATAAACCAGTATTCTTGCATACCAGTTGTTATCACTTCACGAACCATCCTTAATACATATCAGTACCAGTTGTTATCACTTCACGAACCATCCTTAATACATATCAGTGGCGACGAGGACGATCCTACCTACAATAAAAATGTCTTTTATAGGAAATATACCTATTTTTGACTATAAAAACTGTGAATGGTCTATTTTTAAAGGTCGATTAATTCAATTTTTAAAAGTGAATAATGTGAAAGATGACTGTAAATGTGCAATATTGATTACGCATTTATCGGACAACTCATACCGTCTAGTGCGTAACCTAGCCTATCCTGAAGAACTGGAGACGCAAAGTTTTGAAAACCTGGTGTTATTACTCGACAGCCATTTTAAGCCGAAACAGTGTTCATTCGCCGACAGAGCAAAATTTTATTCCGCAACAAGAAACTGCGGGGAGTCACTAGGAGACTGGGCGGCACGACTAAGAGATTTAGCAAGTTACTGTGACTTTGGTGTTGCCTTGGATACAAATCTCACGGACCGTTTCGTCCTAGGTCTGGGTCCAGGTCCTGAACGCGATAAATTGTTTGAACAAAACGTTTCCGAGTTAAAGTTAGCACGTGCCATTGAAATCGCGGAAAAGGCAGAATGTGCTAGGGATGCAAAGGCATTCGTATCAGACTCAGTGGCTGTGAAGGAAGAAGCGATATATAAGTTATCGTACGGATCTGCAAGGAGAAATTACGGCGGTAATGGCGGTGGCGGCAGTAAAAATGGCGGTGGCGGCAGTAAAAATGGCAGCGTCGCGAATTCACGTGCGGCGTGGACGTCGCAGGCTAGCCGCGATCAATGTAAATATAATCACGAAATACAGTGTTTAGTATGTGGTATGAAAAATCACAGTGAAGATAAGTGCCGTTATAAAAATTACAAATGTCAAAAGTGCGGTATTAAAGGGCATTTAAAAAAGATGTGTAACAAAAAAAATAAAAACGAACATGTTTACGTAAATCAAATCGGAAAAAATGATTCGGATAGCGACACCGGATGTGACGAGTGCCAAAACTTTAATTTAAGGTATGTAATTAATAATAAGCCGATACGTATAGATTTGATGTTAAGTAATAAGTTCGTGACCATGGAATTAGACTCTGGATCAGGTGCATCAGTCATTTCAAAAAATATGTATAACGACATGTTCTCAATGCATAAATTAATGTATAGCAATATTAAAATGTGTTTGTATAATGGACATAAAATTTCACCTTTAGGGTATTTCGTAACTAAGGCCATATTTAATAAGAAAACAAAAACGTTGAAAATATTCGTAGTAGATTCGACCGGCCCTCCTCTACTGCGTCGTGATTTTATGTCCACCTTCGATCTTGTGTTAACTACAAATATTAATACCTTGAGTTATGATATTGATGTAAACACATTACTGGAACGTTACCCTAACCTATGGCGAGATGAGCTCGGCAGCTTTAACAAGTTTAAAGTTCATCTACAATTAAGGGAAAACGCGGTTCCAAAATTTTTCAAGGCTCGCCCTATACCCTTTGCCCTAAAAGATAAGGTAGTATTGGAATTAAATAGACTGGTAAATCTAGGTATATTGATTCCAGTTAGTAATTCGCGTTACGCAACGCCTATTGTACCGGTGTTTAAAAAAGATGGTACAGTAAAAATTGCCGGCGATTACTCTGTTACATTGAATAAGGATTTATTAATTGATAAATATCCTTTACCAAGGATCGAGGAGGTATTTGCAAAACTTGGTGGAGGTGAACAATTCTCCAAAATTGATTTAAAAAATGCATATAATCAGTTTTTACTATCAGACGATTCACAAGAACTTACGACAATAAATACACCGAAAGGGCTATTTAAATATACGCGACTTGTTTACGGCCTCGCTAACGCACCAGCTGTATTTCAAAAATCGATCGAAATAGTGTTGTCGGGCATCGAAGGTGTAAGTATCTGGTTAGATGACATCTGTATAACAGCTTCCACAAAAGATAAACATTTAGAAAGGCTAGAACAAGTACTGAGCAGATTAGACGACGCCGGTTTACGATTACAAAAAGATAAGTGTGAGTTTTTGAAAGAAAACGTTACATACCTAGGGTACGTAATTGATAAAAATGGTTTACGTACAAGTCCAGAGAAAGTAAAAGCTATAATGAATTCTCCCGAACCTACGAATGTTACTGAAGTAAAAAGATTCTTAGGTGTAATTAATTATTATAGAAATTTTATACGGAATGCGTCGAGTATTATGAGCCCGCTTCACGAGTTGTTACGGGACGGCGCTAAGTGGGAGTGGGGCGAGCGGCAACGGCTCGCTGTGCGCCGCGTGCGCGCTGAGCTCGCCTCGGAACGGGTGCTGGCGCACTTTGACCCGGCGGCGCAGCTAGTGCTCACCGTGGACGCGGGGCCCACTGGCCTCGGGGCGGTCTTATCACAGCTTGACAGTGAAGGTCGCGAGCGTCCACTGGCTTTCGGTTCTCGTTCACTCTCGAAGAACGAACGGAATTACAGCCAAATACAGAAAGAGGCTACGGCAATAATATTCGGAGTGAAACATTTTCATCAATATTTGTATGGTCGAAGTGAGCCGTTCATTCTTGAGACAGATCATCGACCGCTAGTCTCGATATTAAATGTTAAAACGGGAATTCCGACTACGACCGCGCTACGACTGCAAAGGTATGCTATTATTTTGTCGGCATACAATTATGTTGTTCATTATATTAGTAGTGAAAAAAATGTAGTTGCGGATTATTTTTCTCGTGCACCGGTTTCGGAAACAATATGTGAAAGCGACAAAGAGTATGACGCATACTGTGCCATAAATTTTTTAGACGCGGCTTCATCGGCGGTACTGTTTAATAATGTAAAAGAGGCGACTAAGAAAGATAAGACATTACAAACTGTAATCAAGTACATGAAAGTGGGGTGGCCGCGTAAAATAAAATGTAAATCAATTATTCCATTTTTTCAATGTAGGACTGATTTACAATTTGAAAATGAGGTTTTAATGCGCGGTCATAAAGTTATAATTCCGTCAGCATTGCGTGAACGGATGTTACATGAACTGCACAGTACACACTTAGGTATAGTTAAAATGAAGTGTAACGCGCGCGGTAGGATGTGGTGGCCAGGTATAGACGGCGACATCGAGCGTTGGTGCGGCGCGTGCGAGCAGTGCGCCAGCGTACGTACCTCACCGGCGCGCGCAGCGCCCGCGCCCTGGCCGCGTCCACACGCACCTTGGCATCGAGTTCACATTGACTACCTGTCTGTAGGGCAACGGGTGTACCTAGTAGTTATTGACTCGTTCTCAAAATGGCTAGAGTGTATTCACATGAGCGCCGGCCTCACCACTCAAGCACTTATAACTAAATTAAAACAAATTTTTTCAGTTTTCGGTATACCTAACACATTAGTTTCAGATAACGACGTCAAAATAAATTGTAAAGAATTTAATGAATTTTGTTCCAGTAATGGTATTAAATATATTACTTCCCCAATTTACCACCCATGTAGCAATGGGCAAGCGGAAAACTCTGTCCGTACATGTAAAAAAATGTTAAAAATAGTTTTAAAAGAGACCTCAAACCAGTGTTCGCTCAATGAAAAATTAATGGGTTATCTATTTGAGTACAGAAACACCATACACTGTTCTACAGGTCAATCACCCGCAAAATTAATGTTTGGTAGAAATCTAAGATCTCGACTTGATTTAGTACTGCCTACAAAACATAAATATTCGTATAGTGAAAACAGCGACAGGAATAAAGCAAAACCCAGTAGATTTTTTAAAAATGGTGACAGGGTATTGGCGCGCTGGTACAGTGCTAGAAAGAAATATTGGAAATTAGGTGTAATTGTAGACACTATTGGTAATAGATTATTTAAGGTACACATTGATCTAAATACTACATGTGTTAGACACTTAGATCAAATAATACACTACAAGTGCGGAAAAACCATTGATAATGGGAGAAGTAAGCTACAAAACATCCACCCTTGTCCTGTGTACGGCCAGGGGACTCCGTCATTTTCACCACCCCCTACGGTATCAGTATTACCACAACAACTGAATGAGCAAAACCTGGTTAACACATCTTCGGTGGGGGGTGCGGAAGATAACGAAGTGCCAGCCACAAACGTAGCAGATTGTATTGTTCATTCTGATGGTAATGTCTGTAGAGTGGTGGAACGTGAGGGCGAGGATTTGGTGGGACAGGAACCGGAGGTTCAGATACCTCAAACTACATCTACCATTCAGAATCCAGTCACCATACAATCGTCACCCGGACGTTCCAAACGGCCTAGAAAGAAAGTAGATTATACAGTTTTCTTTAAGTGAAGGCCTAGTTTATTTTGTTTAGTATTAAGATATTTTTAGATGTAAAATGTACTTATTAGGCATGGACAGGCACCCTAATAAAATATTGTTTGTTTTTCCAACAGGTTTCAAAATTAGGGTGGAAAGATGATGTATCTGCTACCCTCTTTTAATAATAATGAGCATAATTATATCTACCTACATATATATTAGTAATGGGAGACTTGATGCGCTGTCAGTAATAAACCAGTATTCTTGCATACCAGTTGTTATCACTTCACGAACCATCCTTAATACATATCAGTACCAGTTGTTATCACTTCACGAACCATCCTTAATACATATCAAATAGACATAAATGCACAGTGACAAAAGATAAAAAAAAAAGATACTTGTACCAAAAGTAAAAAAAAAAAAAAAAAAAACAAAATGTATAAAAATTGTAACAATTTTCCCCTTCATGCGTGTGTCCACAGTAACACAAAATGGTCACAACTCAGCTTATTGCTTTGCCCTAAAAAGAGCAAAATACTGATATTCTGAGAAATAAAATTGTTTTTATATCTATAAGAAAAAAATGGACTCAATATTGCCCCACTACCGTGGTAGGAGACAATATAACGTTTACCCTATTAGTTACCAATTTTACAAGACAGACATACTACCACAGCCAGACAGAATACCACAGCACTAATTGCAGCCTAATTTCAGCCTGCAGCTGTAATTTACCGTCAGTTTTTTTTTACAACACAGGGGACAAACGAGCATGCGGCTTACCTGATGGTAAGTAACTTCCGCCGCCCATGATCACCCACAACACCAGCGGCATTGCAATTGTGCTGCCGGCCTTTTAAAAAGGAATATACTCTTTTCTTAAAGGTTATGTTGCAGTATCGGTTCGGAAATACTGCTGCTAGGAAGTTGATTCCAAAGAATGGTTGTGCGTGAAAGAAAGTGCCTTGAAAAACGCACGGTGGAAGACCACCACTCGTCTAGATGATTGGGATGAAACTTTAGTGGCGGGTTGTACGGTGGTGAAAATCAGCAGCAGGTATCAATCAGTTATGAAATTATATTATTTTTAAAACATATGCACGGGACGAGACGCTGTGACGTAAAACGCCGTACTCCTTCTAAAGAAGGCTTCCGGATGAAGTCGAAACAACTGTCGGAAACGACAAACATAGTAAGTTTGGCATATTTTAACTTGATATGCCATCATCATCATTATCATCATAACAGCCGTTTACTATTCACTACTGAACACAAACCTCCATGCCATGCTTGGCAGACGAATTGGCAACCACAGTTAGATTTTAGTGATTTTCTAAGAGAAATACTGCTGCCCATCCTTCGACCATTAATTTCCCTTAGCTACCTCTTACGGCCCCTACAGGAAAGGAAGGGGTGGTCTATTCAATGCCGGGACCATACGACAAAATTATATGCCATCCAGAGGCTTTATATCTATTATTAGTTTTTTTCTTCTAGAATCCAAGCATACAAAGTAGCGGGCTAAATGCTAACTGTAAAATTTCATATTTAAATCTTTATTGTTTTATTAACGCTATCAACGTAACCAACCAGTAGTGAATTATATCACATTAAGCCAGCCATTTGTGTACCCACAAAGTGGCTTCTGCTGCAATAAAACGGGTAATTGTACTAAGCAAATTAGCTATCTTGCTGAATGGACAAGATGTTGCTTTATACCGATTTATACACAGACGGCGTCCCTAACTCTTAACTAGACATTATAATAACTAAATAATTCAACAATATCTACATGTTCATGGAATGCAGTTAATTTAGTTTTACCAGAGGAAGACTTTATACCAAAGTCGTTTGCTTGGGCACCTCTGTCCTATTCGTGTTTCTACCGAAACAGTTGTGTTTGCTTGGCTGTGTTTCAGTTTGAAGGGTGGGATATGGCAGTGAATTTACAGGGTACAAAGGAGTAACACCTTAGATCTCAGAAATGGCAACGCATAGGAAGTATCATGGACGAAACACTATACTCTATTATGTTGATGGTACTGCTCATGTTTATAAGCGACGGTTACTGCTTTCCATCAGGTAGGTCGTCAACTTGTTTGCCATTCTAAATTGCAAAAAAAAAACTGTAAACTCATCGGGATTGATTAACGCGAAACTTTGTGAAGACTAGCTTTGTCCGCAACTTCGTATACGTGGTTTTTGGGTTAAATGACCATTTTTTGATAACGAATTCAATTAAAGTATACACCATATTTTAAGGAAATCCAGAAATATATCAATTTGGTGCAGTTGTTGTTGCGTGAACAAACGTACAAACATATACAAACTGCTGACAAACCCTGTGATTGTGTCCTGCTATTATAAGAAAGAAATCGTACCCAGCGGTGTCAATGCAGTCTCTTGATGATGATGGAAAGCTAATACGTTAAATTCACTATTATAATCTCTCTATTCGCCAAACTGAATAACTTTCTCCAGCATGATCGCGCACTTTTTATGAAGTATTACTTTTTTTGTATTCCAACCTTCCAACTTTAAGAAAGTTGTTCGGGTCAATTACTTTTCCTAATGGTAAGGTTTCTTTCAGTTACATCTTAATTAATATCAAATACATTATCGTTGGGGGGAAAGGAATTGTTAGCAATGGAGTTTAAATGCCCCATTGCTAATAATATGCCCTATTAGGTCGACCTCACGTGGTTCCCCCTGGAAACCATTGTGAACAATTCTTGTTGAATTCGTCACAATGGGCTAACTGACCTACTTCATCCTCACCTATCATCCTTCACTGGTGCCCCGCCGGTGTATACCGGTAGCGCGGGTGGGGCTGCCATTTCATTATCACCCATTAAAAAAATACATTCAAGTATTTTTTTTTAAACCTCTACTCGATATTTATAAACCTGATTTTTTTCCAGAAAGTCTGCATAGATAACTCTGTCCTACCTATAATTCTGTTGTAAAATAACTGTATTGCAATGGAAAAGTTTGGATTTTTGCAGTGAAATTACTAAGAATGGAGGCATAACATCATAGTCTCCAAAAATAGCAACATATGAGGAGTATCTATGACGTCCACTAGCGACAATTATCGTTTTCTATCCAAAGGGGCAATCAGCTTTTTTGCAATTCTAAGTTTCATTTATATATAATGTCCTACAAAAAAACGGACTACTGTGGCGACAAATCCTTTTATTTTTAATCTAAAAACTAAGCAACTGAACCGATTTTGATAAAGTTTCTATAGGATTAATCTGTAAATATATCCTTTCTGATAAAAAAAGAATTTTCCAAATCGGTTTAGAACTGACCGAGTTATAAGATAACAAACATAAAAAAAATACAACAGAATTGTTGTTATTTTGGAATATATTCTAAATTATACCATGTTTTAACTGAATAAAGTTTTAATTAAAAAAACAATGCGCTCGATATGTCACAGAACATAGATTCTTTTTTTATGCCTATGCTCAGCTGTGGACAGATAACGCCTGATTTGACAATGTCGATGGATCTTTCATTGAAAAAGGTCCAATTGTTTCTGAAATACTGATAATAGCATTGTTATTATACTTTGGTAAGGTAATGTACAGACGGTGTTAGGTAGTTTTTGCTTGAAAGAGAAAGAGAAATAGCCATCCATCCACACAATCTCACGAATTTTCACAATTACTCATTGGCATAATAATAGTGGCCGTATGGTCCCGGCATAGAATAGGCCACCCTTTCCTTTCCCGTGGGTGTCGTAAGAGCCGACTAAGGAGGGCGAGGGATGGACAGCAGCGTCCCTCTTAAACATCTCTTACGCCTGATTGCGGTTGCTAATCCGCCTGCTAAGCGTGGCAACTACTGGTAGAACCCCCCAAGGGGGAGACTTATGTTCAACAGTAAGCGATTATAGGCTCATATGATAATTATGATGATAGTAGTAGTATTTGTTAGTAATATTTGTTAATATATCTGGAGGATCTAAGTTCTAATGATAACAAGAATTGAATAACTCCTACTTTTTGAAGTCGATTTAAAAGAATCCTTGCAACAATTCAAAAGTGTACCTTATTATATAAATATATAATGTACTTTTTACGGTACCGTGAGGTATTTCTACAATCCGTTTTTATACAGTCGCCAGATGTTTCCTAATCTAGATAAAACGACGACCGCAAATGTGTTGCGTGGATTTGATGGATGCAAGTGACTTAGGATCGTCCCTTATGGTGTTTTATAGGGGAGATATTTATTCACCGGTGAACGTGGATAGTAAAGGCCGATATGGTAACAAGGATTTGGAGTTTGTGGTAAGAAAGTTTAAAGAAATAATATGATTTGAAATGACGCTAATTTATGATATAAATACTAGATAAATAAGAAGTATCAAGTAGGAAATAACACCAGTTGTCTCGATAAAGTCTACTACTATCATCATCACCATTTATTCATCATCATAAATATAAAACAGCCTTTCCCAATGAGGGCGATAATGCCGCCTTGTGGGCGCTACAGGCCTAAAGGGGGCGGTGAGAGACCCAGAAAAAAATGGGAGCATTGTGCTTGGGGGGTGATTTATTGATCTTGAAGTAATAGTGGTTTTTAAGTAATGTAACATGTAATGCTAAGTATGCTAATGCAACATTATTTCTGTAACTCTGTATTTTAAGATAATAAATTAAAAAAAGTAGGTGAAAAAATTGAAGCACTAAAAAATATTTTATTCTCAAAGTGGGCAGTGGACAAAATAAGTTTGGGAACCCCTGATATAAAATAAATAAAAAAAATCATATAAGCCGTCTACTGTTCATTGCTGAGCATAGACCTCCCCTAAGGATTTGCCAATAGTTGTTACGCTTGAATAAAGGATTGGCAACCGTAGTTAGAGTTTGGTAATATTTTAAGAGAGGCACTGCTGCCCATCCTTCGACAATTAGGCTCCCTTAATTGCCTCTTACGACACCCGCGGAAAAGGAAAGGATTGCTTAGTAATGAGTGCGCCTTTTGTATCATTTATTAAAATTTACTGTATTTATTATTTCCAATTAGTGCAATAAAGTGTAAATCTATACTTATAATAAATCTGTAGAGAAATCTGATCGATACTGATACCAAAAATGCATTCAGTAAAATTTTTGTCTGTCTGTCTGTATGTTCGTTATAGAAACAAAAACTACTCGACGGATTTTAACGAAACTTGATACAATTATTCTTCATACTCATAGACAGGTTATAGTATACTTTTCATCACGCTACAATCAATAGGAGCAAAGCAGTGAAGGGAAATGTTAAAAATGACCACCCGTGCGAGGCTGGGACGGGTCGCTAGTAAATAATAAGTAAGATACTTGTAAGTATACTTTATGATTCATACAGGCAAAGCTATTGGACACAATTAGTATGATAATCAACTTCAGGCATTTTAAGTCCGCAATAATTCCCACATTAGTTAGGTGCAGAGCTGTAACAATACAATACTTTCAAATTACACTGCAAAATAGAAACCAATGATTTGCAATATGTGGTCGTAACTTCCTATACGTAGTTGGTACATAACGTAATTTACCTGCCGAACAATGCTCAATACGATTGCTATATAAAACCGCAGCTTTCATATGAAAGTGGGGCATGTCTAGATAGTTACTTGTCAGGCTATAGTTATTTGAAAGAATGATTGACTAATTATTGTGAGGTTTCGGGTCTTAAAGGTGATTAAAGTGGATACTATACTCCACAGTTACAGATAGGGTTGCCATATGCGAATTTAGATTTTTATCTAAACATGAAATATTTTTTTCACTAAATCGATATTATTTTCAGGATTTTATCGGCTTTCGCTAGATTTGCCACGTGCCACAAAATGAACGACACAAAATAATTCCTTCTACTCGTATTTCAAATTTGTTTTTTTCTTATCTTTCCGTTATGTACCTTAAGTCATATATTTTATTGTAAATATTTACCTTACTACTACTGGCAATACGGGATGTATAATGAAAAAAGCCTATGTTCAGCAGTGGACAGTTAGTAGCTGGCGTCCTAATGTAATATATATATATATATATATATATATATATATATATATATATATATATATATATATATAAATATATATAATATATACCCAATTTTCAAAAAATTTCATTCCTACAATTTTGCGAATAGAAATTTTTTTACCCAAAATTGCGAAAAAATACCCAATCTGGCAACACTGGATATAGATTTATACAAATACAGTAAGAGAAAAAAATAGAAGTCATTAGCGGTACGAAAAACTGTACTATTAATTATTACTAATATTACTATTATAGTAAATATTATAGTAAAATTTACTTAAACTAAAAATTTAAAATTATAATTTTCAATCACCCATACTAACTGAACAAACCGTGGTAATATAATTGCTCGAAAACTTTTTATATATTGTTTATCGATCCATAATTCTTTTTGGAAAATCATACAGTTTAATGGCAGAGCACTCCCTTAAAAGTATATTAACAATTTCGACTTCAGCTTGTATAAAACACGCTCAATACATTTTCACGTGCTTATGTTAGGTATATTATAAATATTTCATCTCTAATTGCACTAGTTTATGCAGTAGCTTTTCAATTCAATCTTTTATTGCTATTTTCTATTGTAACAATATAGATCTTAAGCTATTAAAGGTAAAGAATCAACATGAACCCTGGAAGGGCACAGCGATCACATTAATAAATATTACATAAAATATATAACTACATTTTTATATTATACATGCACGAGTCGATTTGCACAAAATAAATAAAACATAATTACATTAAAACAAAACGAATAGGTACAAATACAATGAAATTTAAGTTCGGTTGTTTAATAATGGTAACACAGATGATAATTATAATCCGCATAGTACTGCGAGATTACTAAATTCTGTTGAAATCTGCTCAAACATTTTATATTATTGTCTTGTTACGTCTATCTAAATATTTGACTAGTATATTTTATTAATCATTAATATCCTACCCAATCAATTATAATGATATTGTGATAACTTTACAGTAGTCCTCAGGAATGGCAACGCATGGGGGTATCATGGGTGAAACAGTATACTCTATTATGTCCATAGTACTGTTCATGTCTATAGGCGACGGTTACCACTTTCCATCGAGTGGGCCGTCAGCTTGTTTGCCACTCTAAGTTGCATAGAAAAAAGTTTATTTATGCAGGGAGAAATGCAGGAAAATCTGAACATCCCATAATGACTTGGGATCCTAACCCGCCGCGTCACATGGAAGCCTCAAAATAGTATTGTTGTTTTGATTAGCGTGGTCCTACCCAGCGTCTGGCCTGGAAGGGTGCAAGTCAGATTTGTGGCGATTGTAGCGCTTGCTTCTACGCGGTTATTTCAAAAGCTATCATAAAATATATTATAAGGTATGCAATTTTCAAGGAAGCATCTGGAATCCTCAACCCTCCCCCCCTTCCTCCTAGGTACGCTCTAGTTGTTTTTGACCCCAAGTTTCATTGTAAAAAATGTTGAATTCTGTCTAAAAATTATACTAAATGTTGTTTATAATTACTCCTCTCCATCCAAAGGTTGCCTGGAAGAGATCGCTCTTAGCGATAAGGTCGCCCATTGTTTTCTCATTGTGATTATTTCTTGTAATTATTTATATGTATAATAAGTTTACTATTGTCATCTTTTGGAGGAAACAATAAAGAGTATCTATCTATCTATCTAAATGATTTCTATTTCAGTAATATACAGGTAAATTACTATCTTGGTAGTAAGTAGTAAGTTTTTCTACCAAATTAGTAGTATGCCTAATTGTACCAACACCTAGATACAGAATCACGTTTATCAAAATCGAGCAATCACTTTTAGGTAATTTGCAGATAAGTATTTATAGTCGAAACGTGTGCGTATTCGTTGCGTTTGAATGGATCATTAGGTTTCAGCGGAACTTTCACCGGTCCATTAATCACTTGTACGTCAGCCGTTATAAATAATATTATTAATTTTACATGCTCTAGACAGTTAGACAGTAGTCACTTGCTAGTAAAGTTCTAGAATCAATAATCATAGAAAATATTAGCCTCTCATCCCCTAGACAAGTGGCAAATGAATTCATTAATCGAAATACCAGATATGTCTGTCTCGTTCTATCTCATGCTTGCAGAAACGATAACATATCTATCGGTATTGTCGAAGAGGACTAGACACACGAATTTTGAATGACATGGGAGTTATTTAAAAAAAAATGGTTATGAGGAATTTTAATAAAATCAACAGAAGTTAAAACAATAATTTTCAGAAATTGTATATGGCAATCTATGTGTTTCTTCAAGAACTACTGCACTAAATTGTACGCAGTTTTCATAGGCGTATTTCTGAAAGCTATTTTTCTATTTTTGTTGTAAACCTGTTAAACTTGACAAATACAACATCCTATCAACAATATATCTGGCAAATAAATTTCATTTCACTTTTATTTCATTCGTTATCCTTCTTCTGAAATCCACGCGTTTATAAATGGCGGGCAAACAGCTAGAATCATATATATTTATTTATTATTTATTTATTTATTTCCCTCTTTAATGCACCAGAAACATAAAAATAGACAATGACAATATGTATAGTGAATAAATCAAGTGAAATACAGTAATATAAATACACATTGAAATATATACCTGTATAAAGGTACAAAAAGCGGTCTTATCGCTAGGGCAATTTCTTACGGACAACATTTGGTTAAAGGAGAACATATAGAGTGGGACGGTGGCACAAGATATATATGTGTATATCCCCATATAGTATAGAGATAGTAGCAACTTACAAACACAGCAGACGCCGAGCCCCTTAGCGCACTCGCCCGAGGCCCTGCCCTGCCGGTCGTGGCACTCGTACGCGTTGAGGCAGACGCCCGCGCGGGCCACCGCGTGCCCGCTTGGCTGGCACTCCCGCCCGTCGTCGTCGCCGGGAGCGGTGAACAGCTTTATCACCTTGCCGAACGGGAACAGACCTGAAAAGGAATGTTTGCTGTGAACTTTTTGTATTAACAAATCAATTGGGAACAACAAACATAGTAAGTTCATAGAATTCCCGTTACACACCCACAGCCACACGCATACGCACACGCACACGCACACGCACATGCACACGCAACGGACACGCACGCACACACATATACTTATATATATAAACACTATATATATATATATATATATATATATATATATATATATATATATATATATATATATATATATATATATACGACTTTCTATAGGCTTCATCATCAAACAAGCTCAAATACGGTGGATTTGAACTGCGTAGTATACAAGTGCCCATGACTGCCTTTAAATCATGCCCACCTCAGAATTGTCTTATTCCCATCATAGGAAACGAATGAAGCCTTGTAAAGATACGAGTATATTAAAAAGTACATAGATATTAGCCTATATCAAGGAATCAGCAAACTTTAAAAGTTAAAGACGGATATTTCGACAGATTATTTTCGATGTTTGGAATCAGAACTTAACAAAAAATGTTTTTGTATATCTGTTTAATGGAATAACCTTTAATCAAATAAACTTGTTAATTCTAGTTGCGTTTATTTGTAAACTCCAGTTATGTTTGTAGAAGTTACTAAACAAAACTTTATACAAAACGTAATTAATTTAAAAAAATATGTCATCCCATTTTTCTTGCATAATGAAGCCGTCTTAACATAATTAACATAGCAGACACGCCGTAAATAACCGAGAGACTGTACTTTACTTAATATTGTCAACTCCAGTTTACCTTTGAATTATATTCGCCCTATAATTTCTAATCACATTTTAAAAGTAACCATAGACTTAGCTGGACGAAAACAGGCGAAAAAAGAAAACGTATTTTAAAAGAGTCACGACTAATTTGTGTAACTCAATTAAACAGGCGGAGAGGAAAATGTTAAGGTTCCTAAAAACGGACGACTTACTAGTTGAAAATCAGTTGAGACGTTGAATAAGTGAGGAGGGAATTTCTATTAATCAGATGTAATTTTAAAAGACTTCGGTCAAGAGGCGAGTTTTATTTCGCCCGAATTTTTCTTGTATGTGTGTGTGCGTGTTACGCGGTATCTTCACCAATTCTGAACCGTTTTTTATCATTCTTTTTACAAACTATCGAGTTTAATCTCGTGGGTCCGTATTAATTTTGTCGCGACTGAAATAACTTTAGTAAAATCTATATATATACATCATTCTGCGTTCCAAAATAAGTCTAGTGGCCGTTTACAGTTAGACAGGCAATATGCCTGTTTGCCACTTGTTTATTATTTTTTTAATACCACGAGTATTAAATACAATTAAACCTTTCGACGTCCACATATGACGAGAACATATCATTGGTTTTGAAATGAAAATAATAAAAGCACTAGATACTATGATGCGATATTTTCAACATTCTTCGGTGTATTTTGTTAGTACTAAAGTCGCCATTTCCTTTATTTGAAGAATAACATACCCACTTTTTTATACAATTTATAAATAAAGAAAAAAACCGACTTCAATTGTGATGAAACCAGTTATTTTAATCTAAAAACTAAACTACTGATCTGATGTTGATAATGGCAAACAAGCTGACGGCCCACCTGATGGAAAGTGGTAACCGTCGCCTATAGACATGAGCAGTACCATGGACATAACAGAGTATACTGTTTCACCCATGATACCGCCCATGCGTTACCATTCCTGAGGACTCAGATGTTATTCCTCTGTACCCTGTAACTTCACGCCATATCCCACCCTTCAAACCGAAACACAGCCATGCAAACACAACTGCTTCACGGTTGAAACACGAATGGGACAGAGGTACCCAAGCAATCGACTTTTGTACAAAGTCTCTCTCTGGTGCTTATATTCCATTACATTATAGTGTAGCGCCGGTTGTTTAATTAATATATTAAAGGCAATGGATTGAAAGCTTTATAATATTATTGAGAAGGCGTAACGATATTCATGGCTTCGTGCCTATAGAACATGTATGGTATCCATTAATAGATTAATCAAATTATTATGTTCAAAATGTTAGACATAGAATCAAAGCAGTAACTATTAATAGATATTTAGTTATAAATAGGTAAAGGCTCTTCATAGTTCTTCTTTTATATATTAAATGCATTCAGATTCTATATATTATATATTAAGAGTGTTTACGTGAGTCTATACAATTTATAGGTATATATACAAGTCATTATACCTTTGATGTTTATTCCTGTACATATAAAATGTTTTTTGAGCCTTCGTACCACACTAATTTATCTATATATGTATACTAGCTGACTCGGCAAACGTTGTTTTATCATATACATTATTTCGAGAAGTATACATGAAAATTTATCGTACTACAATTATTATATTCGATTGACATCTTGCAGCCCTATTGCGGAATATAAAAATCGCGTTTAAACAACAGGGGTTATACGTAAAAGCGTAAAATTTTTAATTTGTATGTATCTTTCAATGCTGAATCATAATAAAATAAAAATAAAAAAAAATTGACAACAAAAATGAAAAAAAATTTAGGGGTGGGTCACCCTTATCATTGAAGGGTCTGAAAAATAGATGTTGACCGATTCTCAGATCTATCCAATATGCACACAACATTTCATAAGAATCGGTAAAGCCGTTTCGTAGGAGTTTGGTAACAAACACCGCGACACGAGAATTTTATATATTAGATGTAAAATTATTCATGCTCCTTTCCACTGAAGGTTTGCTAGAAGAGAACTCTTACAAAATTAAATCCGTCTCTTGTACATGCTTATTCAAAGTTAATTATAACATTATGATATTTGTATACAATAAAGTATAAGTAAATAAATAAAATAAAGATCACAAAAATAAACCGACTTCAACTATGACATAACCAAGATTTGATCTAAAAACTAAAGTACTGAACCGATTTTGATAAAAATTCTATAAGACTAATTTGTAAGTATTTAAATTATTGCTTACTTGAATAATTAACAACTAAACTTATTATTCACTTATACTGTACTGAGTATATTTCCATAAATAATAACTCTTTATTGTCCATTAAAGATAATAAATCAAAAAAATTAAAAGGTTCTGCTTTTGATAGATTATTTATATTTGCACACAGTATCTGCGGTTATAAACCACTTTTACTTTCTCACACCATCATGTGGTCCAGACATAGAATAAGCCACCCCTTCCTTTCCCGTGGTTGTCGGGCAGGCAACGCCCTCATTAGTCGCCTCTCTACAAGGAAT